CGGCGACTTCGTGGAGACCTCATACTAGTGTACCAGATATTGAGCGATCCCAGTCACGTATGCCGCCACCTCTTGAAGCTCAGCCCGAACACTAACCTTCGCGGTAACAGTTTAAAGCTAAGCCAACAGTACAGTCGTCTAGACTGTCGGAGAACCTATTTTTCCCTCCGGGTCTGCGGGCCCTGGAACGCCCTTCCAAACTCAGTAGTTTGTGCCCCCACATTAGATACGTTTAAAAAACGATTGGACGTCGCACTGAGCGCCCTGCGCTTTGTTTAATGAACGAAAACGCTTGTATATATTTAGGATGACCAGCCTCTTTGGATTTATACCCCAAATTCACGGTCGTAAATCTGTGCGAACCGGTGAGTACTCCATTTTTATTTGCTACCATCACCAACGATAACAATTTCTTAGCCAGTTTTGCGTCGTACCACTTTATCCCCCTAAAACTGTTATACTTCTACCTTTTATCTCACTGACACTCCTTACTTCAACCACTTATGTGGTTTGCCAATTTGTTAGTATTTCTATTGCCAACCTGCGGGACCCGTTAAGTGTATGCTTTTTTACCCGTCATATACCATTGTTCCATTGTTCCATTGTTCCCAGCTTTCTCGTCCAGCTGTCACGAACCCATTCTTTCTAAACAGCCCTATCAGTCATTAGGAGCAGAACCCGAAAACGCACTGCGCTATTTTGAATGTCTGCAAATAATCTCTGATGCTCAACATGGTTTCATGTGCAGACGATCTTGTCTCACCAACCTGCTCCGTGCCTGGGATTCATGAACCACAACAACTGATGAAGGAATCCCCACAGATGTGGGTTACTTAGATTTTTCGAAGTACTTCCACATGGTAAATCACTTCGTTCTCCTCCAAAAGCTTGATTTACGGTTGCAGTAGGTTCCATGGTCACTTCGTTGGAAGATTACCTACAAGACAGAACCATCAAGGTAAGAATAGCCAGCAGTCACTCCGAAAGCCTGTGCGTCACCAGTGGTGTACCACAAGGATCCTTCCACGGTCGGCTACTGTTTTTAGTTTACATCAATGGCCTCCCAGAAAACATTTTATCCCCGATGCAGATATTTGCAGATGATGCTACAATGTGGTAAGTACTTCGCACAGCATCCGTCCGTGTCTATTTCCAGAAAGATCTAGACCGGATTAAAGAATGGATAGAAAGGAACCAGCTCCCATTGAACCGTGCAAAATTTCGCCTGCGTAACAGCTTATTCAATACATATCTTCTGGGACAGCACGTTTTGCAACAAGTGACTAGTGAAAGCGATTTAGGTATCGTCGTCCCAGAAAGTCTTAACAATTCGCTCTAATGCTCGAAAGCAGCGAATGTGGTGAACTTTAAATTGCGTCTTTGGAGGCGAGCTCTCGGCACCTTTGAGCGACGACTAGTAACACTGTTGATCAACACAGCTTCGTCCCCATGTTGAATATGCGGTTCGGGCCTGACGCCCGTGGTTAAAACGAGATATTAGTCTCTTGGAGCAACCCCAAAGAAGGGCTACCAAGGCAACAAGTGGACTATCCGCTGTGCCTTTCTTTTGCTTCTTGTGTTCTCAGAATACCGACGGCTTCGCGGGAAACTCGTCCTCGCATGTCGGATAATAACTGAAAGCGAGCATCCATGGGCATCACTGCTGACCCTAGCCTCTTACAAACAATGTCGTGACTATCAACTGAAACTAGTGACTTAAAACTCCCATTTGGATTGTAGGAAGTACTTTTACTCTCTTAGAATTTGTTCACACTGGAATGCACTACCAACACATGTGGTGAACGCACCAGATGTCGCGACATTTGAGAGACTGCTAGACTTTCAACTTAGTGTTGGACGCTACGCAACATTGCGATCAAGTGCGATTTCTTTATTACTGATGATTCACGTTCCACGTTGGAGCACGTTTAATTTTAATTTTCTTGTGAATTTCCGTCCTGTGGGTCTTGTAAAGTCAAGTGTTTTATCCCACCAGACACTATTGAAATAGTGAACTATTAAGAGACGCAGCGTGGCATGTGTATAGGACGGACCCTACTCCTGCAAACTGGAGCTATTATGTAGTGCCTCATAATCACTGTGACACATTAGTACGTGAGGACAACAGAGCCTAGTAGATTTCGTGCTAACGCCAATATTCTGTATAGGCATGTGAACCGCCTCCGGAATGTGAAGCGTGGTGTTCCCCCACTTACCTCAGTGAATGAATGTGCTCAAAGTGCCTAGGAGGCAGCCAAGGTTCTACGGCTGAAATATGCTTCAATAGTTCGATGTGTCACCAGCATTAGTTACATACCTGTTCCATTCCGCCAGACGTCAATATTCACATACGTCACTATTAGTCCAGCGACCGTTTTGAGGAAGCAGATATTGTTGTGCAATCATAGTTCCCCCGGTGTTGACGACATTACTCCAAAAGCATTTCAGGTGGCAGCTACGAAGATACCTAAGCCATTAGCGCGATTTTTTTCCAGGATACCGGCATGAACAGCAGGTCCCCAACATGTGGAAGCAGCGCATCATCACCCCAATTTTCAAAGATGTTAGTCGAGTTAAATCTAGTCAGGCCCGGTTATTGAACAAAACAAATTCTCTACGGTTCTGCGTGGAATACACATCTATCACACTGATAACATACATGCTCCTGTTAGTGCAAAAGTACGACCAGCTACTAGCCAAGTTTTAAGAAATGGTGACCACCAAAAATAGCACGATTGGGGTAAGCACATAGCGGACTGTGCAACCCAAGCCTCCCCCGTAAGTGCTGCTCCTATCCCAAGAAGAACGGCTAGTAACACCGTAAGCAAACAGATACCAAGAGCCCATAAAAGCAACTGCTGTTCCAATACCATAGGTGGCTCACATTTGACTAATGCGGTGCCCAGTTCGATCGGCGTAACTACACATAAGTCTACTTCCAATCTTCCGACGGAGTGCGTAGAAAGAGAGCAAGCCGGTACTAGCGAAAGTTGGGTTACAGCTGCTTCCAAGAAGAACCGTCATATAAAAGTAACATCACCCTCAACTGCACCGGAAACTGAGGAGCGTAGTGGAGCTCTTCTGATGCAAACACCACCGGTTCCCTGCGGTACATCTCGGAGTATTTCAATCACTAACCAAGAGATATCGAAAGATGTAAAGAAACAACTACCTGTACCGATCGTACTGTACGCCAGTATCTCAGAATCAAAGTTGACATCAGAGGTAGGCAGTTGGATGATTACATATTTAGATGGTTGCATCAATGACTCGCAATACAGGCGGTTGAAACCGACTGACACTCAGACAGCAAGAATGAGGGGCGCTCCAATATTACACAAAACAGATAACCCACTGCGCCCGATTATGTGTACGAACAATTCACGGTATTACAATCTTGCGCGGTGCCTAGCGAAAATGCTGAAGCCGGTACGCAAACTCCTGACCATGTATTGCTTAAAGGACTCATTTGAATTCATCGAGTACGCGTCGCAGGGTATGGAGCACATATACTCAATAGACCGCGACTACCTATTCACAAACGTGCCTCTAGGTGAGAGGCTTGAACAGGAGTCGATGTTGCATTCTTGGACTTTTCGAAAGCCTTCGATCGCCTGGATCATCGAATCCTGCTCATTAAACTCCAACAGTACGGTATCGGAGACCCGTTGTTAGGATAGATCGGTAACTTTCTCTCTGAACAGCAGTTAGTAGTTAGAGTTCGATCATCCTTTTCCGATCCGATTCGAGTGGGATGCGGCGTACCGCAGGGTTCGGTACTTGGGCCTCGTTTGTTCCTGCTTTTCATTAACGATCTAGTAAGAGTTATTACGTCGAAATTCTTACTCTTCGCGGACGACCTCAAGGTTTGGCGGGCGATAAAACGATCGGACGACCATGAAGTCCTACAGCGTGACTTGAATGAGGCCTGGAATTGGTCGGTGAGAAACGCCCTGCCGTTTAATGTGAACAAATGTCACGTTGTTCATATCTACCATCGACAAGTCCACGTCTACAAGCTTGGGGCACACGATCTGAAGACCACCACTCAGGAACGCGACTTGGGTGTGCTGGTACAGGAAGACCTCGGGTGTTCCAAACAGTCAGATTCCGCTTCTAAAAGGGGCAACCAGCACGTTGGACTCCTGCGAAGAGCATTCGGAATTTTGGATCCATCCATCTTCTCTTTGATGCTGAATGCCTACGTGCGTCCTCACGTTGAATATGCAATCCAGGCCTGGCAACCCTGGCTAAAACGTGACCTTGCAGCGCTTGAGACCCCACAGCGTCGAGCAACGAAAATCGTCAAGGGCTTGCGCCACACTCCTTACCAGGAACGACTGGAGATACTCGGAGTGTTCAGCGGACGGTACCGGCGACTTCGTGGAGACCTCATACTAGTGTACCAGATATTGAGCGATCCCAGTCACGTATGCCGCCACCTCTTGAAGCTCAGCCCGAACACTAACCTTCGCGGTAACAGTTTAAAGCTAAGCCAACAGTACAGTCGTCTAGACTGTCGGAGAACCTATTTCTCCCTCCGGGTCTGCGGGCCCTGGAACGCCCTTCCAAACTCAGTAGTTTGTGCCCCCACATTAGATACGTTTAAAAAACGATTGGACGTCGCACTGAGCGCCCTGCGCTTTGTTTAATGAACGAAAACGCTTGTATATATTTAGGATGACCAGCCTCTTTGGATTTATACCCCAAATTCACGGTCTTAAATCTGTGCGAACCGGTGAGTACTCCATTTTTATTTGCTACCATCACCAACGATAACAATTTCTTAGCCAGTTTTGCGTCGTACCACTTTATCCCCCTAAAACTGTTATACTTCTACCTTTTATCTCACTGACACTCCTTACTTCAACCACTTATGTGGTTTGCCAATTTGTTAGTATTTCTATTGCCAACCTGCGGGACTCGTTAAGTGTATGCTTTTTTACCCGTCATATACCATTGTTCCATTGTTCCAATGTGATTTCATAGCGAGTCAAAACATGTCTGTTGGCCTGACCATGGAGTGTTTGTGGGATATGATCCTATTATGCACGGAAAATATACGCTTCGAGTTTGAGAGGACTGTTTATACAGAGATCGACGGCGTTGCCATAGATAGCCCACTGGGACCAGTATTAGCAGACATCCTTCTAGGCTTGACAGAAAGACAAGTTACTGCCAGCATTGGTGAAGCTAAGTTGTACAAGCGGCATGTGGACGACATCCTAGTCTTCACCAGCAACGAACATTTTGAACGACTGTCGACAGTTCTGAACACAATTCATCCAAATCTATCAGTGTCCCAAAAGTTGGAACAACCCCATAGTCTGCCATTTTTGAATATACTCATTAAGCGATGGCTCGATGGTACACTACAGCACACCGTTCATCGCAAGACCACTTGGAGCGGGCAGTACCTCCACTTTGTCCGGTCGCACACAAATGTAGCTTAGTGAAAACGGTCTTCTACAGAGGCAGACGGATATGCAGCCCCGAAATATTGCAGGCTGAAGAAGAATTTATGTTCAAAACCTTGGTGTCAAATGGGTATCCAGAAAAGTTCATTCAGATTCACAACAGGCCTACCAAGGAGAAAATACCGGTGTTAACAGAAGAGAAAATGAATGTTTATTTGTTCTTGCCGTTCAAAGGAGACCACGTATCAAATGATTTCGGACATAAATTCCGGTCCGCCCTTACGCGCACCTACGTGACCGCCCAGTTGCGACTCATACATACAACGCGGAGCCTTGTTCTTCATGACCGTCAGAGCAACTAATCAGTCAGTTCGGCCTCTCACGTCGCTTACCAGTTCACCTGCGGTTGCGGTGACATTTACATAGGCAGGACTGACCGTCAGTTAGCTTAGAGTGTAGCTGAACATGTGCCGTGGAGGTTGGAACAACTGGTGACTCAACAAAACGGAGTGGATCCGAGGATGAACAGGAGTCCAGCATCATCTACCACCAAGCATCTCTTGGCAGCCCGACATCAGGTGAACCCCGAGACTACTTAAAAGGTGTTATTACGCAACAACAAACCGAAAATTTGGGCAATTAGTGAGGCTTTGCTAATTAGAGCTTATCAACCTGTGTTGTTTGCACAGAAACACAGAAATTAGGTTACCGTGGTCTTGATTTTGACATTTTGGTTGGTGTGCCAATTTTCCCCTGTACATGACTGTCTATGAATTCAGCTTGTATTGTGTTTGCGACTGATGAGAACAACCGAAACGTTGACATATCGCAAGTTATGTCTTCGCACTGCGCTGACGAAATAGCTGAAGGGGGACCACTGTTTTTCCTTTAAGCTGACTTCCGTCCACACCGATAATGCACCAGCAACCTGCTGCTTGTACGAGATAGTTGGACGGAAGTGGCTGATAAGGGGGGCGGGGTTGACGTCATCTATCTGGACTTCATCAAAGCTATCGACCGCCTGAATCACCGCATCCTGCTTCACAGTCTACAGAGCAACGGAATCGGGGATCCAGTTCTTGGTTGAATTGGCAAATCCATTCACCAACAGAAGCTTCAAGTACGTGTTTGGGGATCACTCTCTAACCCGATTGAGGTCGAATGTGGCATCCCACAGTGCTCATTGCTGGGATCGCGCTTATTTCTTGTGTTTATCAACGACCTGCCAAGAGTTATCTCCTCAACTTTCCTGCTTTTCGCCGATGAGGTCAAAATATGGCGGGCGATTAGTAACAGTGAAGATCACGATCTACTCCAACGCGATCTGCAATTCCTTGATGAATGCTCAACGAGGAACCTGCTTCAGTTGAACATTGCTAAGAGCAAGGTGATCCATCTGCATCACCAGCCGGTGAGAGGTTACAAGCTTAGAGACCACCTATTGCAGAAGTCCTCTCAGGAGCGTGAGCTGGGTGTACTGGTACAGGAAGATCTAGCATACTCAAAACTAACAGAGGGCAAGGAGAACCGGAAATCAACACTTTGGCCTTCTTCGCAGAGCCTTCGTTCGCTTTGGACCATCAATCATTTCCCAAATGCTTAACGCCTACGTGCAACCGCAAGTGGAATATGCTATCCAGTCCTGGTAGCCGTAGCCAAAACAGGATCCCGTTGTTCACGAGACTCATCAACGAAAGGCAACCAGGAACGTCAGGGACCTCATTCATCTGCCCTATCAGCTCAGACTGACATCTCTAAGAATGTACAGCAGTCGATATCGGCTTTGGCGGAGGATCTCATAATGGTTTATCAGATTCTGAAAAACCCAAACCACATTTACTGTCCGATGCTGAAATTGAACAACAACAATAACCTAAGAGGTCATTTTTTGAAACTGACAATACAGTAAAGCCGGCTTGAATGCCGTAGAACTTTCTTTTCCCTCTGCGTGTGCCAGCCTTAGAACGCCCTCTCTAATTATGTCGTCTCTGCTCCCAATCTGACGATATTTAGAAAACGATTTGAAGATGCGCTGTCTCATTCGCACTTCATTTTATGGATTGTTGGTCAGGGGCTACAAAACGCGATCAAGCAGTGTCTTTCCAAACTCCCAATCAATGGATTTATGGACCTATACGTTTAATACTCGAACATCTTCGCTATTCTTATTAAGTCTATGAGGAGTCAGTCATAACGCTTTTCACTTTATTATGCAATTTAATTTTCGCAATAATTTCGCTCCCACGGGGCTTGTTAGGCAATGCCTTTTTTTACCCGTAATAAACCATTGTTTCATGGTTCCATTGTCAACTATCACAGTGATTCTCCTCATGGTGCTCTCAAATGTGATGAGTCAATCGCAGCGGAGGCACCAATGGACTACTTTGAAAGGTCTAACATCACAGCACAGAAACAACACAGATTCCCTCAGCATCAGTCATGTAGTACCAATCTACTGATTACGCGTGGCAGTTGGACCGAAACAGCGGACAGGGAGACTTGCACTGATGCCATCTATCTCGACGTTTCTGAAGCCTATGACCGCTTAGGTCACCGAACCCTTCACCAAAAGCTGCATATCTATGGAATTAAGGACCCGGTTCTTGGATGAATCGGAAATTTTCTGCTTCCGCGGTGGCTTGGGGTTCGGGTTAGAGGAACATTATCTGATCCTATCAACACAGGCTGCGGTGTCCTACAGGGATCGGTGTTAGGACCGCGCCTATTCCTGGTCTACAGTAACGACGTCGCACGTGTCACCGAGTCGAAGTTTCTGTTTTCGGCCAATGACATCAAGATATGACACGCTATCAGTTGTCCGGACGATCACGGTATACTGCGGAGAGACTTGGACCGTGGTCAAAGGCATAGTAACTTCCGTTTAACACGGACAAATTCAAAGCCGTGCATGTCCGCCCCAAGCCCACGTACGCATTTGAGTTTGGAGGCAATATGCTGAAAGCTGCCTCGAAAGAGAAAGACTTTGGGAGAGTGATGCCAGACGACGGCTGTTTGGCACAGTCTTTGAAGATGTCCAAAACCGCTAGCTAACATGTTGGTCTCTTACGGAGGGCATTCGGGCGGTTCGACCCCTCCATCTTCCCCAAATGCTCAATGCGTATGTGAGACCCCAAGCAGAGTACGCGATTCAGGTCTGGCAGCCCTGGGTTAAACGCGATCTGGTTGCACCGAATACCGCACAGCGTAGGGCAACCAAGAATGTGAAGGGAATGTTCCACTTGCCCTACCATCTGCTACAAACTTTAGGAGTGTACAGCAGAACTTATCGCCCTCCACGGGGTGACCTCATTCTGGCGTACCAGATCTTAGAAACACCGATCACGCCAGCCTCTATCTGTTGAATGTAAGTCGCAGCACAAAATTGTGGGGTCACTAGCTGAAATCGGTTACGCAATACTGTCGGCTGGAATGCAGCCGAAACTATCTTTTCCTCGAATTTGTCACCCTTGGAACGCTCCTTAGACTTTTTTCATTTCGGCGCCCACGCTACTAGTTTTTAAAAAACGACTCGATGATGCATTACAACACCTGCAGTACCTAGTTAATTTCTTCACTTAGTTCTAACAGAACGCAGACCATATTGTGCTCTCCGGCCCTCACGAAATTGGTGTAAACGGAAAGATAAGCGTGTGTAAACGGGTACACATGTGGGTTATCGAACATAACTCGATTTCAGTTGATTTATACTTACGAACACCGCGGTGAGTCCATCAGCGTGAACCTAAATGTGCAGACCATTTTTCTTATGTTTTGAATGTTCATTATGACCATCCTAACCGACCTCCTTTTAGTGATTCCCATGGTTATGTTTGGCTCTATGTATATTTGAAGACTGCTGACTACTACTACTACTACTACTACTAACTACTGATATGATCATCTTGCAAGACCTGTTAAGGTATAGCTACTTTCCCTGTATAAAATCATTGTTCCCTTAGCCTAACGCCAGTTGTGACAAAACAACTGACCTCAATTCTCGTTCTCCGCCTCACTGCTGAATGGGAATCCCGGATTAGGGAAGGGCAAGCGGCTTTGCGCCTTCTTGGACCTGCAGCATCTTTGGCGACGGAAGGAGTTCCCCTCTGTCTGAAATGCCGTATTTACAAGGTCAGTGAAAGCTGTCCTGCTCTGTAGGAGTGGGACTTGGCTCCCTCGGTCTGAGAAGCTGAGGCATCTTCAAGTCTTTGATCATCGTTGCCTGCGGAGCATTGCTGGTGTCGAGTGGCACCAGCGTGTCCACAAGATGTGCGTAAACAGGTACTGCACAGTGGAACTCAAGCTAGTTGTTTAAAACAACAGATTGCACTGAATAAGTTGCGTTGGCTTGGGCACGTACTACGTATGCCCGGTCATTGCTTACCGAGTAGGGTCATGTTTCGTCTACCAGATATAGGGCGGCGCAAGGCTGAAGGTAAACAAAGCTTGACTTGGCGGCGTGAAATGAAGTCAATGATGACCAAATTGGGCGTGGTCGTTTCGTTTTGCCTTCCAGGCTGAAGACCATGTGACCCGCCTTGTGCTTGTCTCGAAACGTTCGAGGATATGGCTCGCGGTCTACACCAGATGCGTGTCTGGTGTCGTCTCCTAGTCGGATTGCCTGTTTAACGTGCGTTTGGTGCTGAGATATCTGCGGAGTAATGGCTGTTTATGATACGGGGCAGCGAAAGCCGCAAGGAAACTGTCTCGCCGATGCCGCCTTATCTGTATGATAAAAAGCTGTTTGTGACGGCATGCTTTTACCACAAGGTGCAGGCGCCTTGACCCTGAATGTTTGCTTAGGGCATTAACGTTTTCAAGTAAGTCCCTCTTCTCTCCCTTCTTATCCTTCGTTCCGTAGGTCCTCATGGTTGTATGGCAGCGAAGTATGAGTTCAAATGACTGATGTAATTCTGTCGTTGTTGATGCTGCTGATTCCTTGATGATGTCATCTCTGTTCAGCTGTAGCCTCATGACAATGAAGCACTGCTAACCAGGAGGTGTCTTCGTTTCTAAACTAAGCAAGCCACACG